CATGAATGTGAACAGCATTATAAATTGATCACGTGAACAAATTTAGTGTCTGATCTTAAGGAAGAGAGTAGCTTAGTGTAAGGGGAAATGCTTATAGAAAAGCTTGCAATCCATTCCTGCTCAGATTGCAGCCAGCGCCCGTAAAGACGGGTGCATATTATTTATTCATTCGTGCCAAACACTTTGGTATTTCCCCGACGTTGACATGGAATCATCGGGATCCGAGCCTCGTTACTCAGTCCGAGTAAATGTCCAAGACAGTCCCGTCATTAAGTCGCACGAACAAATTCTGCCGGCCGGGCTCCATTCGTCAATCACCGTCCGCACTGCCCACGTGAGCCGGGCCGCTGCCGAGGTCACACTCAGATGACCACCTGTGCATGCCAGCGGCGGGTCTGGTGACGCCGGCCTGTACCGGGCGCTGCCGTCGACCGGCGGCCGGCGGCCAGCGGCCGGCGGCTGGCGCTCAGTCGGCCTCCTGCAGCGCGCCGGCCGGTGCGCCCACTCCTCAGTGACCGCGCAGCCAGCCGTGCCGGACGTCAGCTCCGGAGCCGGCGACGCGCACACATGTCAACCGCCGGCGCTTACTCGGCGCTGTCGGAGCCGCCATGGTGCGCTCCGGTCGGCCACTGGACCTGGGACATGGCGTACCCGGCCGGCGGCGCAGGTCAGTCGAGCGGGTGCGCCGGCCGGCCCCGGCTACCTGCGGGGGTTGTCTATGGCTTGGGGCGTCGACCGATAAGATGATATCCCTCTGATCTGCGCGGCGCGTGCGATGTTTTGAGCTGGACTGGACTGGACGGTCTGGTCTGGTCCGGTCCGGTCCGATCCGGTCCGGTCCGGTCCGGTCGGACTGGTCCACATGGTGACCCTCTGGTCGGCCTGGCCAAATGCTCTGGCGAGTCTCGTCAATCAGTACTACGACTTGCGCCGTCTGTGGGTTCCGCCTTGTGGATGGATCAGCAGAAAACGGGCTGATGGTACTAAATATTTATATCCTGAAATGGCTGATAAATGGGAATCGTTGCCGAAACTAAACACGTTTTGGTCAGTGCGCGTTCTTGGCACGCAAAATCCACATGGCGAAGTTCGAACTTCGCGTTATGGATGTGTCGCTGGCCGATCCGATCTACTTGATGACGCTCTAGTCTACCCGGTCTACGTGGTGGCGCTGTAGTCTACCCGGTCTGCGTGACGGCGCTTTATTCTACCCGGTCTACGTAGTGGCGCTGTAGTCTACCCAGTCTGCGTGGTGACGCTCTAGTCTACCCGGTCTACGTGCGGACACCCTGGTTTGCGTGGTCCACGTGCTGACGCTCTGGTCGGCCTGGCCCGCGTGCTGACGATCTGGTCGGCCTGGCCCACGTGCTGACGTCCTTGTCGCTCCAGTGCACGTTGATGCTCAGGCGCCTGAGTTGCGCAGATTCGCCCCCGGACCTGCCGGTGCCAGGCCTGCCAAGCATCCATCCATCTGAGGCTTGTTAAATGTCGGCTCGGACTGGGCCGGGGCCTGTTGACTGTCGTGGCCCGCCGAGGCCTGCACAGTGTTCCAGACGTTTGCATGACGCCGGCCAGTGTCGACTTCATGGCCGTCGGTCACTGCTAATCCCGTTGGCGTGATGGGAGTTGTGATTTTGCGAGGTCATTGCAGTCGTGAATGTCACCGTTTCAGGAAGGAAGTGCTCGTTAAGTAAGCATGGGATGAGAGAACGACAAGAGGGGGCTGATCCGCGGGGGTGCGAAGGCCGCTTGTTAGCAATGATCGTGCGATGCTCCGCGGCGATTGGGCAAGATTATTGCAGGGCTCTGCGGGGCGCACTTGCCTCGCCGTTCTGCTAGGCATGCCTGTAATGCCGTGAAAACATACATTGGCCGAATCGGGCGAGCCCGCGATAGCCGCGTACGACACGCCTTCTGTAGACCTCTCCGCCGGAGCCAGCCGCCACGCCGGTGGGACGGCAGCGGCTCGTCGGCTTGTTAGGTGTGCCACCGGCTGCGTGGAACAGCGTGGGCGGTCCCGCCAGCAGGCGGACAGTATCTGGACAGGGGCCACTTCCGTTTTTGAGATCCGGAGAGCGTGGCGCCGTGACACAAAGGTCACGGCCCGTGCTGAGCCCTGCGGGGTATTGGCATGACACAGAGGTGACACGCGGCCCCGAGCCGGACCACGGCGGCGGTGAGGTGACGGCCGGCTGTCAGCCGGACGGGACAGGCGGCCGGGCCGCGGCAGCTGGGCTGGGCGCCGCCGTCAGACCGCCGCCGCCGGGCACCATGGCCGCTCACCAGCCCCGCCCGCCCTGGTGGCTCAGCGACGACGCGCTCCGCCAGCTGCTGACGCGCACGGCTCCCGCCGGTGAGCCTGCCGACTGGCCCAGCCCCGCGCCGTGCTCCGGGAGGGGGCTGGCTGTGCTCTGGGGCCGACTCGATCAAAGGCGTGTTGTCCGACGCGTGCCTGATCGTGGTCCGGGGAGGGACGACTCCCTGGCCATGCTCTGGGAGGGACGGCTCCCTGGCCGTGCTCTGTGAAGGGACGACTCCCTGACCGTGCTCTGTGAAGGGACGTCTCCCTGACCGTGCTCTGTGAAGGGACAGCTCTCTGGCCGTTCTTTGGGGACGGCTTGATCGGGGGTGCCATGCTCGGGGGCGGCCCCACAAAACGTGTGGGATCCGACCCATCCCTGGCCATGCTCTCTGTGTTTACCCGGGTTTGCTCTATGCTCTTGGCACAGCCGCTGGCCACGCTCGGTGTGGTTAAATGATGACGTGTCTCCAAATGAAAGGACGGTCTACGGAAAATATGGACCACACCACGTATGTACGCGAGCCCGAAACACATCACTTTTATGTAACTGTGTGATCGAAGAATAGAAAGGGTTGGAGCAGCCTGTTAATGTACGGCTGGTGTATCCGTGCTGCACAAATTAAGAGCCCTCTAAAGTGTAGTGCATCTTTGTGAAGCTGGCCACATCAGGCGTCCTGTTGGGGTTTTGAACCCGGCGGTGTGGGTCGTGCCGTTTCTGTTTCGCGGCTGGATGACGAAGATAGCACGTCCTTGCTCGCCAAAGTGGGAAGGGCCTGTTAGAGTGATTGTCTCCCAGCCCACTTTCCCTTGCACTTCTCGTTGGCTGAAAACACTGCTCCGGTATCCTTGGTAATTCCCGTGGTGCGCTGGTGCATCAGCCGTTTCCTGGAAGACGTGAAAAACATGCGTGGCGGGCGTAATTTACGCGAGGCAACGCCAGAGCGTGAATAATGAAGATGCATCGCCACTCTTGTAGCCATGAGATAAGACCTTTGTAGACTGCCAGGGCCATTTTGCTGCTGCACGCTTTGCAGCTGGTTTAGTTGTGTTAGGTCAAACGAATGCAGTCGGTTTAGTCATGTTGTCTCCGCATGGCCTCTTGTGCAAACGTTATGAATTGAGCTGTCCCGCTCAGGGCTTGCGCTTGCTTGTCTTTTGGTGTGTGACTGTGAGGGATTATGTTTGAATACGGACACGCGAGATGGCATGATGGCGCGATGTCACGCGCGGGTTGTACGCAGATGAGAGCGGCTCGCCTGGTCGAAGGCATCCGAGCGGTTCATGACGCCGGGTTCATATGCAGCACTGCTATGTTCGACACGGGTGATAGCGTGGGATGCCTTTGGTTTGATATGGTAATGCCAGGTTTTATGTTCGTGGTTTTTCAGCATTGCTTATTATCTATTAACAGCTGGCCTGCACGATGCCAGCCTACCAGCACGAGCTGTTTGGGAACATTGCATCAATGCCTAGGAAATATATAATATAATTGACATCGTAATATCGTACCTTTGAGCATTTTGGTCGTACATTGTAGGTTGGTTACTTCGCCATGGCAACACCTGGTATCTGGACCAGCCCCGTATTCTTCCTTATCGCCGAGTGTCGGTTGCCAGGTAAAAAATAAGGCTGAACCCCAGGCGTTGTCATGCGCCAGTCAGTGGCATCGCTGCCAGACGGATCGGACGGGCGAGTCGGTGTGCGGACAGATTTGTGTTCAGTGACGCATGCGCATACAGAGTTGTGTTGTTCAGCGGCGCATGCGCGGACAGAGATGCGTTGTTCAGCGGCGCCGCCAAAACATTAAAGGGACATCACCTTTTCTAGCGGGAATGCTGTAGTATGGTCGGATTCCACCACGTGCCATCGGTGCGGACAGACGGGCTCCACGCGTGCTGCTCTCTTCACTCTGGTGTCGCCCCCTCCCCCAGCCATGGCTCCGTTCTTGCGGCGCCTGGTCATGCCCACGGCTGTCTGTCACCGACGACCTTTGCATATTGGCCTCTGACAGGACGGGACATCTGATCCGGCGGACGATTTCTCCACGTTGTGACTCGTGACGCTGTAGAGGCTCCTGCAGCTTGCAGCCCCCCCCCCCCCCGTACACGGGTTTAAGCTGACACGGGAGATCTACACTCAGAGTGATGGGGCTACTGACAGAATTTTCTGAGGCACCTGGTCCATTGCTAAATGTGTAAAAATCTAAATTGATCTGGGCTGGTAGCTCGCGTCATCACGCGAGCAGTGTGTGTGCGATCCTAGCAGCGGAGCGCGTCAACATTTTGGACGTACGATATAGCAACCCAGCGAGGTGCGAGGCGGACAATCTCGGCCCGGCATTGGGCGGCGCGCTGCCTACTGTTGACGTAAGGCACCAAAGGATGCTGGCTGTATAAATTGTAAATAACGGTAGCCAAAAGCCTATTGATGTCTAAATTGACTTACGTTACGCCTTGTGTCACAATTCAGGTGGTGCAGCTGCGGCCAGTACAGTCTCATGAAGTTTCTGTCGCGAGGGAGCCCGCAGAGGCCGCGGCAAAGGCTCTGTCAGAATGTACGTGGCGGTGGTTGGAGTGCTGTAGATGCATGCCGTTTGTGTAAGAGTCTGGGGTCAGGTTTATTAAAATCTGCATTCAATGAGACTGATCTAAGACGGATTGGGCTTTTAGCCTTCTGTGTAGACATGTTGGGATATAAAGTAGTGAACAATGGGGGCCCGCCCTCCAGTTCATCCCACACCAGAGGAGAAAAGGCAGGATAAAATGCGTGGGTGTGAGGCGTACTGGCTAATTTCAGCGAGCTTAAAAGCAGCTGTCTTACACTTGGAGAAGTGGCACCACTATATCGCGCAGGTCGCCGCAGTCACCGCGGTGTTTCGCTGAGTGCAGCAGCGACACATGGCGTCGTACGATGAAGTTCAGCCACGCCGGCCGCCGTGTTAGTCAGAGATGGCGTGCACGTAGTGAAACGCAATGAAGCGGTCACGTCGGCCCTGGCATCTGTCAGTGATAGGGTAAGTCGCAACACAGACTGAAACACGGTCGGCTCGGTACCCACGTCATTCCGGCAGGTGAAGCCTCGTAGGACTACCCCCGGCACCTGCACAGTGGCCAGAGTAGAGGCCGGTCGCTTCATCGTCCTAAGGGTGATCGCACACGCTGAACGTGGCCACCCGTGTCGGTCGTCGGCGCCTCAATACACCGCGCGTCCGCACGCACACGGCGCCACGCGTGGCCGCCGGCGCGCGAGCCCCCTGCGGCGTGCGGGCGGGGCGGCCCGCGACCGGTCTGCGTCTCGGCGGGCTCGGCTCTTGTTTGCATTGGGATCGATCGGCGACGCTGGCCAGGGCGGAACCGGTCGCCGCG